CCAGATGCGCCGCTGACGTCGCACATCGACGACCACGCGTGCCGCGGCTATGCACGACTGCTTGATGAGTGCGCACTCGAGCTGCTGCCGAGTGCTACGTCCACACCGATGGCACCGGCACCGTCACCGACGGAGGCGGCGGTGGTGGTGATGTCGGCGGCGGCAGCGGCGGCAGCGGCGGCAGCGGCAACAGCAGCGTTGGCGGAGACAGAGGCGCGGACGGCGGGGACGGCGACGGCGTCTACGTCTATCGAGGCTCCTTTCCCGACGGCGCAGCAGGAGCTGGCGCAGGCGCTCGAGGCGTCGGAAGGACGGTCGCAGGTGGCTGAAGATCGTGACCTGGCGCACGGCATCGAAGAGTCGCTTCGAACCGACGGCCCGTCCCCCTTCGCTTCGGCCGCCGCCGCCGTACAAGGCGAGGCGGGCTCAATGGGCTCCTCCATGTCAGTTTCAGCGGCCGAGTCAGCGTCGACGGTGCAAGCATCCCCGATGAACTCTCCTCGAGGGCGGGCAATGGTGGCGCTTCTCGAGGACGCTAAGCTCACCGCTTATGCGAGTGTGCTGCACGATGCCGGATATTATGAGCTGACTGATCTCAGAGAGGCCGACGACGCAGACCTCGGCGAGCTCGGAGTGGGACTCAAGAAACCCGAGATCAAAAGATTGCGACGCTATCTCGAGAAACAAGTCTGAAATTGTGGTGGTCCGAGCACCTCTCCTGCGACCTGGGCCGTAGCCCGTTCCCGACTGTACCGTATATTTACCGTGTAAATGCATGAGCATGTGTGTACTGTACGGCTCTACGTGTGTAGGCTGCAAGCAGTTACGAGTAGATTTTTTTACTGATTACGCATCATCCCCCCCCACCCCGCCCTCGACTCAAGGGGCTGCCTTCCACCGTCGCTGCTCAGGCCGGGGGAGGGGGGGAGACCTCCTGTTCCTCGCGGAACGGGAGTAGGCCCCTCCTTGCCCGGTCTGCGATGCAGGGCGGTGGCCGTGCCATCTTCGCTTCACAAAGACCACGCCGCAATCGTCGCCGGCGCGCGACGCGTTCCCGTAGGCCGGACTGTCCTGGTCGAGAGTGTGTGCCGCCAAGGCGGGGCTACTCGGGGACAGTGCCGACGGGACGCGGCTCGAGAGACGACTCCCGCGAAAGCACGGCTGGCATCCGTGGCGTGGGGCTCGCCTTCGAAAAGTCGGGCATGGCTCTCCCCGCAACTCTATCGCTAACACGCGCGCACCACCGAGACTGTGGTGGGCGCGCTGCGGTCGCACGTCTACCTCCGTCATAGTGCCACGACGTGCGGCCTAGAATTAGCACACGCGCCTCTGCTTGCATACACTCATACATTGGATTGTCATCGCCTGTGAGTGCGAGATAGGGCTAGCAGTAGGCAGCTAGCCTCTGAGGAGGGCGTCCATAGACACCTCACTAGACCCCACACACGGTCTCGCCCGTGCCTCGCCGGCCGGAGAGATTGCTGGAGGTAGAGCAAGGTAGCCTGCTCTAGCCTCGCATGTCACTTCCTGTTGTCTGTTGTTTGTTGTGCCCTTGTTTGTTCTCTTGGCACCTTGGAGTGCTGGGGGGGGCGACAGGGAGGATATGGCCTTGAGTTATGTGTACGCCTACTCAGGGTGTGTGGCAGCCCGCTGGCTGTGTGTCTTGTGAGCCTGTTTGTGTCTGTGTGTCGCTCGTGCGTGTCGTCATCATCTGTCCAGCGTCCACGCATACCGCGTTGGTGTCCAGTCCGAGCCTGGCTGTTCTTCACCTTTCTACCTACCTACCTACCTGGAGCGCAGAGCTAACCCTCGGGGACCCGTGTATACTTTACGGCCCTTTCCCTGCGAACGCGCACCCCCGGGGCTAGGGCTCTCTTGCCCGTAACCCGATGCCAATCATCCGGCCCGCTGGGTGCGCTTCTGAGCTCCCTGCCGCCTGGCCCTGGATGTGCGGTTAATGACTGCACTCCAAGTGCTCCAAGTGCTCCACTCACAGCAGACAGGCTCGACACAGGTGCGAACTGGCGCGTGCTAGCACAATCACAGATAGATAGATAGATAGGACGGCGAAACACAGTCCGACCAACGACTGGGACACCAACGCGGTATGGGTGGACGCAAGACGGGCGATGACGGTCACATACAGGAGCGACACACAGAACCACAAGACAAGACACTCAGCCAACGGGGCGGCTGCCACACATCCTGAGCGAACTTCCCTAGTCACCCGCGGCCGGACTCCATCCGGCACGCGTCGCTGGGCGCTCAGAGCCGCGTCCCCTGCTCGCCACCCCGACGCCCAAGGCGCCCGAGCGAACGACAGGCGGCACGCGAAGACTGATTGCAATCCCGCCGACCGCCAGGCCGCGGGATGATGCGTGCGTGGTCTTGTAGTGGGTCTCGGAAGCTCCCCTCTCGGGCTAGGAGCCAGCCCCTCTCCCTTGCCCCCTGAACACCGTGTCCGAGTCGAGGCGTGTGCTTGCCGGTCGACGGCCGCGCGCGGTTGGCATTGTGACGAAGGTTGCGCGCGGCCGCGGCGCGCCCGCCATGGTTTGGCGCGGCGCGCCTACCAGCGGCAGTTGTCGAGGCACGGGAACACTTACCCGGGGTCATCCTCTGAGCCTGGTCGTCGGCGCCGCGATGCCACGGCGGCGCATTCGACGTCGTCGGCGCGCTGCCCCGCGGTGAGCCCCGCCGCTCGTAGCGACGGCCGCAGGTCGGCCCGGTGCAGCGCGCCCTGGCCGCAGACTGAAGAACGGCCACGAGGGGTGTGTGATGTGCGGTGCGGGGTGTGAGGGGGCAGCGTCTTTGTGTGTGCGCGCGCGCGCCGCTGCCGCTTGTGGTTTGAACTGCCCGTTGTCCCTGCCCTCTCCTCTCGGGGATTGAACTGGCCCTGTGCGAGAGAGGAAGATGGGAGGTCGGCCTTGAGAGCTTACGGGTGGTCTCACCGCGCCAGAGGCTCTGCCTCTCCTCTCGGGGATTCAACTGGGGGATAGGGGCGGGGATCCTCCCTCTTCCCGCCGTCGATGCCGGGGCTCAACCAATCCGGAGAGGTCGTTACCATTCCTCCATACATCCTCCCAGCTTCATCGGCGGGCGCCTGGGAGTGTGTCGTCAACTGGACGGTGGTCTTTCAGTGTGGTGGGGTGGGTTTCGTGACCGTTCAGCGTCGATGATCACATGGCACACCACCGGAACCGCCTAAGCGACTCCGCTAAGAACGGCAAACAATGCACTTAGCTCCGTGCACAATGCCGCTCTCCCCGCACGCTAGCTAGCTCGTTCACCGTCTGCCACACGCCACGGCGACATGGAGAACGACAGACAAGCGGTAAGAATTGTGCGACAAAAAAGCTCAATACGCACAGCACTGATATTGGCACTGATGCATAAGCAGGGATTTTTAAGAATACCTCTTAGCCCAATGCGCAATCCCTCTCTCACACGAATGGGGGTTTTATAAGCTAGGTTTTTCGCTGTCTGTGAGCTAGGTTACTGTGGGTCTCACTGATAAATCGGGTCGTTTGGCCGCACTCAGAGACGCCGGCAACGTATGTGACACCCGCGTGTGAGGACCTCCTCGCTCGTTGGCGCCTCGCCGCCGCCCCCCCTCTCGCCGCCGCTCCGCTCGTGGCCGCCCCATCCCCTGTCAATTCCGCCGCCTCCCCTGTCAATCCCCCGCACCACCGCCGCCACCGCCTCGCGCGTTTAGCGGGGGGTCAAAACTTAAAAGGAGGACAGCCTATACAAAGAAAAGAAACGCAAGGTCGAAGGTGCCACCTTATCAACCACAACGCAAAAGGCCCGCGCGTGCTGCGCGGGCCCGGCGAGCGACTAGCGAGCCAGCCTGCTAGTACTATGTATAGTTAGTACGGACGGATCCGAAGGGGTCGCACGCGGGAGGGAGCGGGCGTGCGTCCGTCCGAGCGAGCGAGCGAGGGAGGGAGGGGCTTGCTTGTCAAAACACCGTCCAATTCTCGAACACACTATAGTTAGTACGGATTCGAGGGAGGGGCCGCAAGATGCGCCTGCCTCCGACAGCCGACCGACTGATGACTGTCGACGGACCAGATCTATCTAGCTAGGGCTTCGCCAAGGGCATCGAGCGGATCGCCCGGCGGTGCAATCTGACGGTGTAGGGCCTAGCGCGGTCCTCTCGGTGCCGACGAGGAGCAGGGCGCAAGTGTACGTATGTGGCCTCTGCGTGCTAGCCATCTCTTCGCCCACACCTCACCATCTCGCAAAACCAGGTCCAACGGATGGGCGACGCACAAGGCACAACCTCGATCCTCGTGATAGATGTCCCTCTTCGTTCGACGTCGGCGGCGGTGGCGGGATGAATGGAGTGAAGAAGAAGAATAAAAGATGAGGGCCGAGCTTGTATGGTCGGGAGGGAGTCGCATGCAGGGGCCAGTAGTGGCCCTGGCCGGGGCACAGTTGTGGTAGGACGTGTGGAAGGACCCTTGTCGTTGTGGCTTGGAGTCGCCAAAGGAACTTTCAAACGTGTGGGTGCCTTGGGAGGAGGCTTGGCCTCGGGTCGCTTCCATTGCCTGGCGCGTTACGAAATATGCAGTCCAGTGCAGACGCCATGGCACATGGGAAGGCGAGAGACACGTGTGGGGGAAGAAACCCCGATTGTCGGAATCCAGAGAGCAGAGTGAGAGATCCTCTGACTCGTGCGTCGTGGTGCTGGCGGTACGTCAGTGATACGTAGTGAGCCCTTCATACCGTATAATAACACGTAGAAGATCGTTCGAGACTTAATCAATTTCAGGTCGCTTTTACGGCTTCGTAAATCGTACTGTGCAAGAAAACCGCGCGCCCCCCGCGCGCATCACACTGCACGCACCGCCCGCGGCCGCGAGCAGAAAGACAGATTTTCTGTTCGATCTCTGTCCTGGTGTTGTGGTGACGCCAAGACCCGTGTGCCGTCAAACTCCAAAAGGCCAAAACACAGGCGAGGGCAGTTCAACGGCTCGGCTCGGCGTTGCTTGCGCGCCTCAGTCACCGGCACAGTGCCGGTCCCGTGACCCGTCGCTCGGCTCGCGCGGCGAGCGCCCCCACGACGTTCC